CACTCTCTCTCTCTCTCTCTCTCTCTCTCTCTCTCTCTCTCTCTGTTTTCTATCTTTCTCCCTTGTGCACAAACTCTCTCCTTTTCTGGGCTCGTTTCCATTGTCAGCTACCCAGCACCACCACCGTCTTCGGTGCAGTCACATCGTCCTCTCGCAGGACGGAGGCTGCGAGTCTCCGGAGCGGAAAAAGAGGGAAAGAGAAGAAAGCGTAGGAGAGAAAGAGAGAGAGAGAGAGAGACAGAGGAAAAAGGATTCGCGTACGCAAACGCGTGTGCGTGTGGCCGCGGTGATATATACGCGCGGCCCACAAATCAGGCCCGTAGATCGCGGCGGCTTCGTCGGCGGCGCGAGCGACAATTAATTCGCCGCTTTTGCCTCCCCGTCCCTCCCTCCCCCCGCTGCCCCCGAGGCTCCATTGTATGCGCGTACCCGCTCGCATCCGACCCTCTTCCCCTCCCCTCCCTCTCTCTCTCTCTCTCCTCATCCTCCGCACGATTTGAAACACTTCCTTCTCTCTCTCGCTTACTCTTGGATTCTACCTCCGCGCGCTCTGTTTTATCGAGGGCCACTATAGGGGCCCTTTTTGCCTCGTTTGGGCAAAGGATAAGTCGGTGGAAGGGAGGAACTCCCGAGCGCCGTAAAAGCGCGGCTTTAATACGGGCCCGGCGTCATGCGGTCTAGCTATGCGGCCACGCCGTTACCGGCCTTAAAAAGGAGAGCGTCGAGAAAAGGGCGGAGCAATTAATATCGTGTGCAGGAGATACCGGGGTGACCGGTATCTCGATCACATCAGACGTCGGTGTCGCGGACTTGTAGGCGATGTTAAGCCCGTCACGGAGATCTTCTTTTGATTGTAAATAAGAGGACAAGTTATAATTCTCTCGTCTGTTCACCTAATGTACACTTATCAATCAGGCTTGATGTACAAATTGTAGAGAGCATTTAACATGACGTTAGAATAAATATTTATACTGTTAATTATGAAGGGAGGGGGCGCGGAAACAGACGCGGAGAGAAGGAATGCGGATGTATACAAATTTCTGACAATTTCGACGATTTCTTATTTTCAAAGTGACAAGAACACGTAAATATTTTCATAAGTGCAGCCAAAGTTATGTCTCGAGTAATATCGTTATCTGACAAATTGGCACCTTAATCGGTTCGTTCAATGACGAAGCTCTGTATATTGCATTCGAGGAAACTCTATATACCTATATGTGAGCGCGATCGCGCGTCACGAGATCTCGAGGATGAGAATGAAAAAAATTAAGCTCTCGACAAACATCTCGCTCATTAATACGCCCAACGCGCGCGGGTTCTCATCCATAAGGGACGCCGCGCCGGCCGGATGGCGAAATCGATTTAGGAGGAGAGACCGTCACGGACATATCGATAGTCCTCGCTCGCCGGCGGCGAGGACAGGGATAGCACCGTGTACGCCCGATAACGATCTCCCCTGCAGGACGATTATTTACAATTCCAGCCACCCACTCTCGCGGGGGCCCGGGTCGTGCTTCAATTTTTGTCGCCGTACCCGCGTGCACTACACGTTGTGTCGGTGAGAGAGAGAGAGAGAGAGAGAGAGAGAGAGAGAGTCCTGAAGCTCTCGGGGCTTTTATCGGAGAGCGCGCGCGGCGAGGAGGGTGAGCGGGGGAGGAGGCGGGCGGAGCCCCTCTCCCCCCTGCTCGCACGGGGGCCCCACGATCGTAAAATAACCGGGAGGACGAGCGAGCGAGCCGAGCCAAGCGGGTAGTGTTAAAGAGGCGCTCGGCGGAGGATCGTTTACCTAATAATAGCAATAATATGTAAATGCGATGCGTATCGAGCCGCCATCGAAAGAAGGGGCCGCGCGCTACGACGCCATTGTTTGCAAATCCTTGGGCCGAGCTCGAGAGCGATCCGGCGAGATCGGGGCACCGTTGTTGCGAGCTCTCTCGGCGAGCTCCTCTTCGCTGCTCTCTCTCTCTTTCTCTCTCTCTCTCTCTCTCTCTTTCTCTCGCCGACGCGATCTTTCTTTTGCGCGCGAATCCTCGTGCCGGTTGCTGCGCGCAAGCGATATTGTATACGCGA